CCTTTAATCCCAGCTAGCGGGAGGCAGAGGCAGGTGGATCTCTATGAGCTCAAGGCCAACCTGGTCTACAAGAGCTAGTTCCAGGATAGGCTCCAAAGCTACAGAGAAACCCTGTCTTAGGGCAAAAGAAAGAAGAGAGGGAGGGAGAGAGAGAGGGAAGGAGGGAGGGAGGGAGGGAGGGAGGGACAAGCAAAGAAAGAAAGAGAGAGAAAGAAAAAAGGAAGAAAACAAAGAGAAACAAACAGAAAGAAACAAAGAAAGAAAAGGGAAAAAGAAAACAAGAACTAAATTCCTGTCGCGGTCGTTTGCTGCCGTCCTTCTTGGGAAGCACAGCTGTTGGCCTGGGCTGTGGGTCTGCCATCAGGACAAGCTAGACAGAATGAGCAGTCCACACTCACAGCAGAGCAGCCTTCTCACCTAAATGAGAGTAACGTGGCCTCACAGAAAGTGCTACCTAGGATAGCATCCTAGAAGGACACCAACAATTCCAAAAGCAGACCAAAGAACACAGCGAGTTTGCTCACCCTCTGCCTACAGGGACTGAGCGAGCTCACCAGCATGCAAGAGATGATTACCCAGGCCTGCCCAAATACAGCTGGGGAGAAAGGAGGATTAGACACTTTTAAGAAATTCCAAGAAGATACAAGCTACCTTTGAAACTATTCAAAGTAACACCTCTAATTATAACCAAAACAAGTGGGCGGTCAGGGCCACCTGAGTCTCATCAAAAGAATGTGCTCCATCCAGCCAACGCCCCTAAGCCTTCCAACCACTTCGGGAAAGCCACCCCTTACAACCTGCCTGAAAACAAACAGCATGTGGAGCTCAATGTATTATTGGGACATTAGTACATTAGTTTAGAAAATATTACACAGCCCTATTAGTATAGAAAAGTTACACTAATGAAACCACTCCCTCAGGTCAACCAGAGTGCTTCCTCTTGACAGGTTAAGAGTCAACAGCCTTGAAAACACCCGACCCACCCACAGACTAAGGCACTGGGGGATTTATTCTCCTTACTTAGGGGGTGGGGTGAGTGAAAGAAAAACTACTTGTTCCTGGCAGCCAGCAGCATTCTCCAACCACAAAATAAAGCTTCAATCCTACACGTGTGCTATGACAGTCACAGGACCAAAACAGCACCACAGTACATAAACAATTTGTGAAACTTTTATTACATTTCTTGATTTATTTGTTGGGCATGTGTGTGGAGATCAAAGGCCAACTTGTGGGAGTTGGTTCTCGACTTCCACCATGAACTCAGGTTGGCAGGCTTGGCAGCAAGCACTTTTACCTGATGAGCCGTCTTGCTGGCCCATAAGCAAATTCTTCAAGTCAAAATGTTAAAGTAATACAAGTATAAAGCTTTTGTTATAATGTCATTTAGGCCAAATTCTATTCTGTGGAGGAGTGGTTCTCAACCTTCCCAATGCTGCGACCCTCTGAGACCATTCCTTACACACGGCAACACCGAAACCATAAAATTATCTTTCTTACTACTTCATAACTAATTTTGCGACTGTCATGAATATTACTGTAAATACATGATATCCAGCCATCTGCTATGCAATCGCCAAAAGGCTCATAATCCACAGTTGAGAATCATGCTCTACAACATCACAACTTTCGTTAAATCTGAAGTAAGATATTGCTAACAAATGTTTTTATGAAAAATCATGTTACCCAAGGGAACAATAACAAAAATAAAACTAAAATGCCTGGCCCTTTAGTCCCAGAACTCTTCTAAACTCCATGTGTAGTTGACACAAAGCCACCTGGAGGCTGAGGATCGAGTCTTGCTCTGTAGTTCCAAGCCACTTCTCATCCCACCTACATCACAGAGGCGACCATCACTACCCATAAGATCTTCATATATATGAAAGGGGCTAGAGGGCTGGAGATGTATAGTTCAGAGGTAGCGCTGTTGCCTACCACACAGCTAGATACAACCTTCAGCATCACCTAACAACAGGAAAAAAAATACACACACACACACACACACACACACACACACACAAGTATATTCCATTACAGACAGGGCTGGAGATGTGGCTTGGAGGTTAACAGCACTTGCTACCTGCTGCTCTGCTAGGACCTGAGTTTGAGTACCAGCACCCACCTGGGCAGTTTACAGTCCCGTCACTCCAGCTCCAGTGGATCCAAAAGCCTCTTCTGGCCTCCTAAAACACCCACCCACACAAGGCAGACACCCACCCACATAAGCAAAAAAACAAGAACCAAAAACAAATTCTAAAACTATAAATGCACTCAGCATTTTTGAGACAGGGTTTCTTGTAGCTTTGGAGCCTGTCCTGGAACTAGCTTGTGTAGACCAGGCTGGTCTCAAACTCACAGAGATCTGCCTGCCTCTGCCTCTCTGCTGGGATTAAAGGCGTGTGCCACCACCTCCTGGTCTGCAGTCAGCATCCTTGAGTGATCAGCTCTACTATAAGGAATTTACCCCACCAAAGCAAGTCAGTGTGTCCCATATCTATGATCAGAGCACTCATGCAGATGAACAGGATTGCAGGGAGTTCAAAGTCAACAAGTATACAGTAAAATCCTATTTCAAAGGTGGGAGGGAGTGTATCTACACAAATACTCAGGCATAAAATATACCTTTGGAGGCAGGTTCAGTGGCCCACATTTGTGATCCCAGAATTTGAAACAAGAACAAAAGGACCGCCCACAAACCTGAGGCCAGATGAGCCCCAAAGAGACTGCCGAGACTGCCACAGATGGCAAAGGCTGTCTCAAAATACCAAAGCCATAGACATACATACATACATACGTATACCTCTGTTCAAGTTCATTACATCATTATACTGTTTTTGAAATAGCATCTCATTAGGTTGCCTAGACAGGCCATGAACTTGCCATCCTCCTGCCTCAGCCTGGTAAGTGACTAGATTACAACCCTGTAACATGTGACCCAATAATATAACACTGTAATGACAAAATTATGGACATTTAAAGTATTTGTATTAGGGAACAGTAGTCATTTTAAAAATCAGAATAATAGATGATGTAGCTGTTCAAGTCCATAAAAGACCCCCTGAGCAGTGACATTACAAAAGAAACAGTGGGAAAAAATGACATCTTAAAATTTGCAGGCAAATGGATGGATCTAGAAAACATCATATTGAGTGAGGTAGTCCAGATCCAGAAAGACAAATATCATATGTACTCACTCACAAGGGGCTTTTAGACAGAAAGCAAAGAAAACCAGCCTACAAATCACAATCCCAAAGAACCTAGACAACAAAGAGGAGCCTAAGAGAGACTAATCTACATGGGAAGTAGAAAAAGACAAGATCCCCTGAGTAAATTGGGAGGCTGGGGATCATAGGAGAGGACAGAAAGGGAGCGCGGAGGAAAGGAGGGGGGGAAAAGAGGAAAATATACAGCTCAATAAAAACAATTTTTAAAAAAGGTGATTTATTGAACAGCCAATTAAAAGCATATGGTAAAAAATTTAAGCAGCAGAAAATGTGTGTATATATTACATATTAAGAACTATGTATGCAAATGTATGTATCTGAACTATATGTATATTTCTCCTATAAAAAAACAGCAAACTTCATAGCAACAAATATAGCTCCAAGAATAACTCACAAAATAAATGAAAGTGGTTTGTTTTTCTTTTTTTTTTTTTTTTTTTTTTTTTTTTACCAGGCTGGCCTCAAACTCGCAGAAATGCCTCCAGAGGATTGGGATTAAAGGCATGTGCCACCGCCACCTGGCTTAACTCAAAATTTTAATGACTTTTATTTTACATGTATTAATAATTATTTTTATGCATGCATGTCTGTGCACAACATACATGCCTGGTGCTCTCAGAGTTCCAGACAGTTGTGAGCTTCCATGTGGGTGCTGGGGATTGAATCCAGGAGCTCTGGAAGAGCAGCTGGTTCTCTTAATCACTGAGCCATTTCTCTAGACCCTAAAAGTTTTATTTTAATTCAACTGGTACAAAATTCAAAGGAGAATACTAAGGGTAAAAACTGTCTTCTAGTTCTCTTATCTTCAGGAAATCAGATTTCTACTTTCTGAGGTATTTTTATACATTTTTTTAATTTCCTTTTTTTGAGACAGAATCTCTTTATGCAGCCACAGCTGGCCTTAACCCGGAGCTCCTCCTGCCTTTATCTGTGATGAAAGGCACAGACCACTATGTTAGACTCTTTGTTAAATTGTATTTACTATTTTTATCTGTGTATGTATGTAGACAAGACTGCATGTGTGCTAGCCTGTGCATGTGACATGGAGTTAACTGTCAAAAGGGGACAATTTGCAGGAGTTAGTTCTCAGCTGCTATTGGGACTTGGGTGGGGTGGGGGCTCTGAACTCTAAGCCTCTCAAGTTGTAAGGCTTAGCAACAAACAGCTATTGAGCCATCTTGTTGGTTCATGTCCATGTTTAAGAAAAAAGTTGACTGGCCAAGAGCTGGACAGGATAAGGTTAGGTAGGGAAACCAGACTAAGGACACTGGGAAGAAGGGCAGAGTCTGAGGAGTCTTGAGAGACACGGCGGGAAGCAAGATGAAAGAAGGTACAGCCACATAGCAGAGGGTAGATAAAAAGTATGGGTTAATTTAAAATGTAAGAGTGAACTAGTAACAAGCCTGAGCTATCAGCGGAGCACTTATAACTAATGTTAAGTCTCCGTGTTGGTTGTTTAGGAACTGGTAGGCAGGAAAGAAAAGTCCACCTGCAATATTGTTAACATTTTCTAATTACAAATCTTTTCCCCAAGTCTCAGTTTATTCTTCTGTAAATTAGAAAACACAGAAACACCCCCCTCATTTAATAGTATTACCCTAAATAAAACTGACACCTTGCATAAACCATGAGTCCCACAACTGCTCAACTCACTCATCCTTTAGTGGACCAGCTTTCTACATGCTTCATTCCCACTGGCTCTCCACAAGGCCTTAGTAATGTATAAACACATCTGCAGAGCTTAGGCTGAGCAGCAAGGAAGCCCTTGTGCATACTCACAGGGATGCCCCAGACTTGCATGCCATCACTGTAGCCGATCATAACCAGCAGAGGGGGCTCATTTCCAGTGCTATGCAGTTCATGAAATTCTAAATTCCGTGATGTATCTGTATTAGGATTAACAAAGAAGCAAATAAAAAGACAGCATGAACCAAGAAAACTCATTTACCTCATCAATGCAAAGATTCAGTTACAACAATAAAAGCAGGGTTCTGGAAGGATGGCTTAGTAATTAGGACCACTTGCTGCTCTTCCTGAGTTCGGAAGAGCACCCACATCAGGTGGCTGACAGCCATCTGTAATTCCACCTCCAGAGCGTCCTCTGAAATGAGGGCATTTGCACATACCCATACAGAGACATATACACATAATTAATAAAATAAATCTTTTTTAATTAAAAAAAAAAGGTCAGAGGCCAACATAGTATCTCTGGTCTTAACCCCAACAGGTGGGAGGCTGAAGTAGGAAGATCACCAAAGCCAATCTGGTCTACACAGTAACTTCTAAGCCAACCTAGCTACACAGTGACACCTCATCTCAAAGAAAAAAAAAAGGTTTGCTTTTTTCTTTGTTATACTGGTGATTGAACCTCACACATGCTAGGCAAGTGTGTCAATGCTGAGCTGTATCCCCCAGCCTGCTTTTCCTTTGTGGGTGTGAGAAAGGCAAGAGCTAAATTGCCCAGGCTAGCTTTGGGGTGGGCATAGATTCATAGTAACATTTGTAAACAGCCAAAAGATGGAAACAATACAAATGTTCACCAATTGGACAATAGCCCTATTATGGTACAAAGAGGATGGAATATCATCAGCAAGGGAGAAGAATGAATTACTACAGACTGCAGCGTGCTGAGGACTCTCACATTATAAAATACTACATGTGGAATGTACTGAACTCTGAGGAGCAGGGGATACGGGGTGGGGTAGTTAAGTGACAGACTGGGCCTCACTGGCCTTAAACCCGGGGGTTTAATCCCCAGGACCAGGAAAAAGTCCTTGTGCACTGTCGTTGGGAACTTGGAATAGTACAAGCACTCTACATAGCAAAGACTTAGTTCCTCAGAAAACTAGACTGGGGTACCACATGGGACGCAGCTATTTCCCTTCTGAGTATGGGCCAGATAGAACAGAAGCAGAGTCTTGAGACAGTTAGACACCAAAGGTGACGACAGCGATGGCTGTTCACAGAATTAAGGGCTGTATGGGACCTTGAGGGACTGCCCTAGACTACCACCTACTCAGGAAGCGAGGAAGGATGACTGTCACAAGACAAGCCAGTCTGGACTACAGTGTAAATTCAGGGCCAAAGGGCAATAGTAATAAAAAGTCAGTCCAAGGCTAAGGATGTAGCTCAGTGGGCAAGAGGCCTAAGGCTCAATCCACAGCGCCCCAGAAAGTTGCCATGGTGACAGAAGAATCAAAAGTTCAAGGTCATCTTCAACTACCTTCAGCTAATTTAAGGCTAGCACGGGCGACGCCTGCCTCAAAAACAGGCAGCTTATCCAGATGGAAGACACATTTAATTCCAGTACTAGAGAGGCACAGTAAAGAGAATCTCTGTGGTTTACTGACCAGCATGGTCTACGTACTGAGTTCCAGGCCATTCAGAAAGTCTAGTTCTTGGGAAGTAGAGGCGTGAGGTTCAGGAATTCAAGGCTACCCTGAAACACCTGAGATCCTGCCATTAAATAAAAAAATAAACAAACAAACTGACTGATAATAAATAAATAACTGTAGAGAGCCGAGGGTAGAGTTCAGTGGGAGTGAACTATACACAGCAGAAATACTGCTCTTGGTATAACGCCCAACATTAAAGAAACTGGTATCACTCATGTCACTCAGGTTGCTGAGGAACTGGGAAAAGAGAATGGTTTGTTTGAGGCCCAGAGTTCAAGGTTATCCTGAGCAACCCTGGCTTAAAATAAAGTAAATGGGTGGTGGCAGACACATAGTGAGATACTAGTCAACCTTAGAAAGGAAAAAGAAAATGCTGACATGCTCCAACACAGATGAATCCTGAATATGAATCCATTTCTATAAGGTGTCTGTATCATGCAGAGCCATAAAGAGAGTAAAGGGGCTGGAGCGATGGCTCAGGGTTTAATAGTACTGACTACTCCAGGGAAGGGTGATTTCATTCCCAGCATCCACTGGTGGCTGACAAGATCTGTCACTCTGCTCCCAGGGACTCGGACTCCCTCTTCTAGCTTCCAAGCTGCACAGACATACATGTAGGCAAAACACGCAGACACACAAAAATAAATCATCTGGTGGTGTAGTGCACACCTTTAATCCCAGAACTCAGGAGGTAGAGAAAAGAGGGGTTCTGAGTTCAAGACCAGCCTGGTCTACAGAGCGAGTTCCAAGACAGGACTACACAGAGAAATCCTGTCTCAAAAGAAGATAGGATACATGGCAGTTAGAAAGACTGGGGATGAAGACACAGAACAACTTTTAACAAAAATAGTTTATTTTCCAATATGAAAATGCTATATAGATCGATAATCAAAGATCATAATGGTTCACACTGTAGAGTGTTTAGTTTCTGCACAGGTACCCCAGTCTCACCTCCAACTCAGGATCCTCCTGTCTCAGCCTCATAGGCACTGGGATTATCCGCATGCACTACCACTCCCAGCTAAAAATGAATTTATTTTCAGAACTGAAAAGTTACTAGAAGCAAAATGGCCTGAGTGAACCTATAGCTCTCTTTCTAAAATCAGGTCAACTCCAAAAAAGAACTTAATACACACGTCCCCGAAGTTAGTCATACCGTTCAGATCTGCATTCTCGAATCTGACCCAAACTATTTTCTCCTTTTCTTCTGTTAGGGGAGTCCCGCTGTAAGCCTGCACAGCAAACAGAAGTGTTTTCATTAAGATCCTGCAGGGTTCCAATACCACACAAGTTCAAAGCAAGACAGGATTCTAACCATTCCACCCCCTCCAGCTTCTCCATCCCTCACTGCAGCAACCAGTACATTCTGGAATGTCATTATTCCCAAAGAATGTTTGTCAGGGACTCTGATAGTATCAGTCAAAAATGAGATTTTAACTCATCACAGAATTGCAGAAACCTAAATACAGTGAACATAATAAACCCTCCATCAACCATCGTCAGGCCTCAATAAAGGTTACAGAATAACAAAACTCCAGGGTTATCTGGCTTACAGACACAAAGTATCAGTTAATACTTGCAAGCTTGCAACAATCAGAAAGATACACATGCATGGCTAAAAACTGTTGGCGGCACCCATCAAAGCAGGTCATCTCTCCATGTAAAACACATCTTAGTTTAAAATTTTTAGTGGGGCTAGAGACCAAGCTCAGTTGGTAGAGCGCTTGTCCAGCAAGCAGGAAGCCCTGGGCTTGATTCCCAGTACTGCAGAAACCAAGATATTCAAGGTCATTGGGGCTGAGAAACTCTTTCTCTCACACACAATTGGTAAGATCCTAAAAAGTGGTCCAAGTCACTAAATCCAAAGCTAAAACTGAGGCTGAGAGGGAAGGTGGCCTGGGGCCAGGAGAGCAATGCCAACCCAGGCAACTAGAAAGTCAGTCTCAAATATTGGGGGTGGGGAATGGCTAGGTATGTGACTTGGTAGAAAACTTGACAGAGATGAACAAGACCCTAGGTTCAATCCCCAGTACAAGAAAGAAAAGTTTTGTGTGCATGCATGCGTGCATTCGGTGGAAGAATCATTTTATTAAAAAAAAATGGTTTTTGTTTTTTAGGGGGTTTTTTTGCTCTTTTTTTTTTTTTTGAGACAGTCTCTCATTAACAGGGTCTCACCAATTAGGAAAGGCTGGGCCAGCAAACCCTTGGATCCTCAGGTCTCCACTTCCCCAGTGCAGGAATTATAAGTGCCTACCATCCATTATACCTGTCTATCGTAGGTCTGGGGGTCAAACCCAGGTTCTCATGCTTGCACGAGAAGCACTTTACTAAATGAGCAATTTCCCCAGGACTTGGGTTTTTAAATTTAAGATAATGTATATTACCTTATACACCCCTAACTTCAAATGGCGAGTTTAATTAGGTTTGGAGGCAAGAGCTCCCTAATAGCCCAGGCTGGTTCAAACTTGAGACCCTCCTGCCTCAGTTTCCCAATGATGGGATTCTGGCACAAGCTACCCAGCTGCGGTTGTCCACTTAACACACTAGGGAAGAAGAATTTCAATTGAGCAACTACCCCATTACACGGCCCTGGGAGCACGTCTGTGAAGCATTTTCTTGATTGCTAACTGACGTAAGAGGGTACGGCCTACTGTGAGCAGGTGGCCCTGCACTATATAAGAAAGGTAGCTGGATGTAGGCCTGGAAACAACCCAGTAAGCAGCCTTCCTCCATGGCTCCTGCTTTCGTTTCTGCCTCCAGTTTCCTGCCTCAGCTTCCCTCAGTGAAAGACTCCAACCAGTAAGTCAAATAAACCCTTTCCTCCACACGGTGCTTTTGCTTGCTCTCTCTCTTTCTTTCCTCTTTCTTTCTTTTTAATTTTTTGAGAAAATGTTTCCTTGTGTAACCCTGGCTGTCCTGGCACTCACTCTGTAGACCAGGCTGGCCTCAAACTCACAGAGATAGTCCTGCCTCTGCCTCCTAAGTGCCGGTATCAAAGGCGCATGCCACCAAAGACCAGCTTCCAAGTTGCTTTTGGTCAGTGTTGTTCCACAGCTAAAGACACCAGTTTTCACCTAAAGGAAGGGGTCTGGCTCAGAGGAGAATGAGCACTGTGTGTAAGGCCAAGTTTAACCCTTAGCACCAAAACATTATAACAACCTAAAGCTAAGGTGTAGTGGATCATGTCTATAATTCAAGAACTCCAGGGCCAGAGAAAGGAGAATTGAGAGTTCAGGACCACTGTAGGACACAGGGAGAGCCAGGCCTGGTGGAGTAGACCTGTAAACTCAGCTCTTACAAGGCTGAGCAAACAGATTCCAAGTTTAAGGCCTCCCTGGGCTACAGAGTGAATTCACATTCAACATGGACAACTATCTCCAAAAAAAGTTAAAAGGAGGGTCAGGGACATGCGTCAGCAGATAAATGAACCTGCCGCAAAAGCTTGACAGCCTAAATTTAATGCCAAGAACCCATGTACAATCATTGTTAACCATTGTTAACTGGCCTGACATTTTCCTGGCTGCAATTTTTACACTGAAAATCTGAACATTTTTATACACACAGAAATAGGGTTAGCGCTTCTCTGTACTACATTTAAAATAAGTTTTCCTAACTGAAATTAGCAGATCAAAGGGCACAGCTGCGGGTTCCTAGTGAGCAGTGGTATCAGCCCAACACAACTCTGAGCTGCTATCTAGGGCATATCTCCCTCTATACAGGACCATTTATCTGAAGAGCACAGAAAACTTTCTAAACTCTATGAATTTGATTCCCAGAATAGGAGAGAAATATAAAACATACAATTTTCAGGGCTGGAGAGATGGCTCAGTGGTTAAGGGTGCTGGCTGCTCTTCCAGAGAAGCAGGGTTCAATATCCAGCACCCACATAATGGCTCACAAAGACAACTCCAGTCCCAGGAAATCCCTCTGAGGACCTGGTACACATACTGAAAAACTCATAGACTTAATAATTTTTTTAAGACAGACAAGGTCTCTCTACTTAGTCCTGGCTGTCCTGAAACTCACTATCAAGTTTAGTTATCAAGATAGCCTCGAATGTAAAAGAGATCCTCCTTCCGCTACCACTCAGTTGCTGTGGAAAAAGCATTTGCCACCACACTTGGCTAAAATAAATTATTTTTAATGCCGCTTTCCTATTACTGACTACAGCACCACTACAGATGAAAGGAGGCAGGAGGGGGGAGGGGGACTGACCTATGCATCAGGCAAACAGTAAAGAAAATGGTTTGGTTTGGTTTAGTTTGGTTTTTCGAGACAAAGTTTCTCAGTGTAACAGTCCTGGTTGTCCTGGAACTTGCTTTGTAGACCAAGCTAACCTCGAACTCACAGAGATCCGCCTACCTCTGCCTCCCAGGTGCTGGGATTAAAGGTATGCACCACCAACACCTGATGAAAATGTCCTTTTTAAATTACTTCTGGCACTGGAGACATGGTTTATCAGTTAAGAACACTTCCAGAGGACCCAAGTTTGGATCACAGCATCCACACAGGTCAGCTCACGATTTCCAGTAATGCCAAAACTAGGAGATCGTAAGGTCTCTGCAGGGACCTACATCACTCCACATATACACATAAACAAATAACCAATCTTAAAAGATCAATGTCAGCTCATGTCTTTAATCCCAACATTCAGGAGGCAAAGACAAGTGAATCTCGGTCAGTTTAAGGCCAAACTAATTTACATAATGAGACCCTGTCTCCAAAAAGAAAAAAAAAAGTAATTTTTACTCTTAAAAAAAGAAAAAAGAGGGGGCTGGAGAGATGGCGCAGCGGTTAAGAGCATTGCCTGCTCTTCCAAAGGTCCTGAGTTCAATTCCCAGCAACCACATGGTGGCTCACAACCATCTGTAATGGGGTCTGGTGCCCTCTTCTGGCCTTCAGGCATACACACAGAAAGAATATTGTATACATAATAAATAAATATTTTTAAAAAAAAAGAAAAGAAAAAAGAGCCAGGTAAAGGCGGCACAGCACTGCCCGCACTCGGGAGGCAGAGGCCAGCCTGGTCTACAGAGCAAGCACCAGGACAGGTTCCACAGTTAGAGAAACCCTATCTCGAAACCCACCCACCCCTCCCTTTCCAAAAAAGGAAAAGGAATATTCAAAGGACAGTAAGATTGTTCACCAGAATCTTTGGGACACAATGATAGAAGGAGAAAAGCACCTCCCAAAAGTTGCCCTCTGACCTCCCTGCATACCCAAACATATGCATGCAATGAATAAATGTAAAAACGTGATGTTCAGTGTTCAGGTCCTGTAATCAAGCCTTTGGGAGTCTCACAGGGGGTGTGGGGATGCTAAAAGTCTGCAGCCATCCTGGAATACAAAGACTATGTCAGAAACTGAAAAGGGAGGGGGAAGTGAAGCAGAAAGGGAGAGGGAGGAGAAAAGGAAAGAGCTGGGAGAGACAGGAGAGGGAAGAGAAACTATAATCGGCTCATTCCATTGCTGTAGCCGCTTAAAAAGCCGTAAGTCTATCTCTGCCTTTGGATCTTTAGTCTCCTGAGATGCGACTTAATATTTGTTTTATTTTATGCTCTATGTACATAGCTTCCTTTAAACCTTGACACAAAACCCACAGTGAGTACAATGATGAGCAGTGTCGTGCAGGAACTCGCCACAGCTAGTGACACGTCCAGCTGAAGTGGAAAGTCAGATCGGCCATCTATTTTTTTTTTTCTGGTTTTTCGAGGCAGTAATTTCTCTGTGTAACAAATCTGGTTTTCCTGGAACTCACTTTTTAGATCAGGCTGTCCTCGAACTCACGGAGCTCCTCCTGTCTCTTCCTACCAAGGGCTGGGACTAACGGCACGTGCTACTATATGGCCGCTTAAGGGCTGTGCTCTTAAATCACTAAGACACTCTCAGCCTGATGCAACCCCACTATCCTCGTTTCCTCAGGCTGCATTACATTCTCTTTTATTCCTCAGTTCAAATGGCATCTGACTCATGAAATCTCTGTTTGCTAGCTGTGTCTCTCACTATGCAGCCCATGCTAGTCTGGAACCCTCAAGCATCATGCCTCAGCCTCCCCAAGGACAAGACTAAAGGCCTGTCTGTGATGGATCACACCCAGCTCCAATCTCAGGTAAACTGAGTCTCTTCCTTCTATGCCCCACTGGTACAGCAGGGTACTTTATACTTTTACTATGATGTTTCTATTTGGCCATGTATTTTAGCTGGATTTTAACTATACGGAGACCTGTGTTGATGAGTCAAGTTTACTGAACCAACAACCATGACCATTCCTTTCTATAGAGTGCTGAGTGGCTGGAAAGAAAACCGGAGCTCTACAGAAGAGGTCTGCCAAGCTGCACAGCAGACCAGAGGCCTGAGGCACAGACTGGGAGTTCCTTCAGCTCAGCTCAGGGCCTGGCACCTGCAGGGACCCCAGGTAAATGCTATTTATTCAAGTTTCACCTTCCGCTTGGACAGAGAACAAACAACACAGGGATTTCTGGCTGGGTATTCTAACTCTTAGATCAATGTCTCCAAGTTTACTTCCATAGAACTTGTTCTGAACCATTTTCACAGCTGGTTTCGTGGGTCAAGACCTGTTATCCCCTCCCTGAAATACATGTTCAGAAAAACTAGAATTTCTGGCATTCCCCCCCCTATTTTTAGTTTTAGTTCACTATTTTCCCTATTCCTGTCTCATTCCAACACCTCACATGAGAGAAGAGTCCTCAAAGTTTCTGACCACAGCCTTTCTCCTCCAGCCAAAATAATAATAATCATCCCACCACATTGTCACACGGGGTCCATAGCTACACAAGAGATGCCTATATAACATTTGAAAAAGATGCCCTGTGGAAGCAGCAAACAAAATACTAAAGTAAAATTTTTAAAAATCACTTTTCCGTGGAATTGCAGCTTCATGCCAAGGTTCGGGGCTTACAGGTAGAACAAGTTGGCTTTCAGGTGCCCATTGCTCCTTCAGCCTGGCCAAATAGACATCAAACCCTCTACCACCACCAGGGTCTTGTTACCAGCGCCCTGTTCCCTTCATTTCAACTAGCAATGCTTCCAAAGTCTCTCCCTCCTCTCTGCATCCCCTCACAGTGTGCTACATGGCAACAGTGCTGATTTGTTGCTATTAATAATCTTTGCTTGTTTCAACCAATTTGACTTATTAAGCAAATGCCTCAGGAAAGGGAAGCATTTTCCTCGTGTACACCACAGACCTCAATGCTGTGGTCTGTTTTCATTCAAACTGACTAAATATAATAAAGCAGTATCACCATTCCTTACTTGAATGCATTTTGCTAAACACAGCTAAAAATCTAGAACTTGAACCTTTCTGGGATATGCTCATAAAACTGGCATATGGATCCATGAGCAGTCCTCTCCAAGCCGCTCAGGTGAAGGACCACGGCAGTCGGGGATGACTGACATCCACATGAGAAAATAAGTAAGCCTGTCCTTCAGTGGGTCCACCGGAACAGCACTGTCCCATCCATGCCCCACAGCAAACACCAGACACGGGTGCAGGACTCTAACACAAGAGCCCCGCTACAGACACGGGTGCAGGACTCTAACACGAGAGCCCCGCTACAGACACGGATGCAGGACTCTTAACACGAGAGCCCCGCTACAGACACGGGTGCAGGACTCTAACACGAGAGCCCCGCTACAGACACGGGTGCAGGACTCTAACACAGATGCACTGAGAGACAGGCCTGGAAAATACTATTATGTTTAATAAGAAGCCAAATAATATTGAACTAAATAAATACGAGCAGTAATATACTATCTAATTCCTGCAAAGCTGCTTGCTCTCATAAAAAAAGAGTATCACATTTAAAGAAGCAATAAGGGCCTTCATCTCTGACAAATCAGGGCAAAAGGGCATACCTGCGTTGCAAAAAGCAAAACATTTTCCAAATGGAAAGAGATGACAATGTGTACTAAGTATAAACATATACATAAATAAATAAATAAAATCACTAGTTAATACATAATATATAGTGCCCTGCCCACGTCACTCAGGCCCCTCTGCAGGAACAGGATGTGGGTATTTAAGTATGTGGGGTTGGGGATCAAACTCAGGGCCTCATATATGCTTGGAAAATAGTCTCTTGGGGCTGGAGAGATGGTTCAGTGGTTAAGAGCACTGACTGCTCTTCCAGAGGTCCTGAGTTCAATTCCCAGCAACCACACAGTAATTCACAACCACGCATAATGAGATCTGGAGCCCTCTTCTGGCCTGCAGGCAGACAGACAGAAAACTGTATACTTAATAAATAAAAAAAAAAAAAAAGAAAAAGAAAAACAGTCTATTGCTGAACAACATCCCAAGACAAGACCTCTTACCTTAAACAAGAAAAGTAGTTAGGAATTGGAGCCCTTAGGAAAGGGTTAGGGAGGTAACCCACTGAAAACGCATTGGACCAGGCCTGGGTTTGATGCCTAGTACTGGGAAGACCCCAAAGAGTCCTGACCCCTGTCCAAATCCCCCTGGATTCCACTCAGGAAAGGGTGTCCCAAGGGAATAACAGGCCCCGCCATCACAAATGTAAGCCTCATCTCACAGCCACAAGCACAGCTCCTCCCTCCTGACCCGCAGCATGCCAAAACAAGACTTTACGCCAGTCACTTAAACAAGTTTAGGAAACGAGATTCTGGAGCTTCCTGCCCAAAGCAAAGCGACCATTTCTGTACTCAACACGTACTCACCTGCGGCACAACATCCTGCAGAAAAGTCACGACGCTCTCCATGTAGGACTGCTCCCTGGCAAGGGACAGAGGGAGAAAACTGTCAGACAGCTTACGACAGAGGAAAACACTACCCCAGGAAAACAGGAGGAAGAAACACTACCCCAGGAAAACAGGCCAGCTCTCATCCTCTGAGGATTCTTCTTCCCACGCTCTCAGCTCAGGAGTCTGCATGCACCACTCTCTCTGGTGCAGTTTCTACCCCTAAAGTCTCCAGCTCCTCACTAAATAAAGGGAACTCTAAGGGCTGACGGCAGCAGTCCTAAGGTAGGACTGGATGATAATGCTACAGAGAGGGAACTGTTGCTGGCGACTCAGAATTTCCTGACCAAAAAAAAAAAAAAAAAAAAAAAAAAACCAGCAGAATTTCCTGACCAACTCTTTAAATAGGTTATAAACCTTGCCACTTACCTCTGTGGGCCAAAGTTAATGTATTTTCCTACAAAGGCAGGCATTAGAACAAGTGTTCAGTGCTGAGGAGATGGCTCAGTAGGTTGTGCTTGGGCCTCTTCAATCCCCAAAACACATATTTAAAGAAAAAAAAAAAAAAAAGCAGGGCAGGTGGTGCATGTATATGATCCCAGACTAGGGAAGAAGAACAGAAGGCTCCCTGGAGCTCACTTTATCAGTCACCTAGCCTACTTGGCGAGCTCCAGCAGAGTGCAACCCTGTCACAAAAAAGGAGGGCAGGATGAAAGGAGTGTGATGACACACACCGTAACCCCAGCACCTGGGAAACTGAAGCGAGACGATCACGAGTTCCAAGCTAGCCTTGCATCAAAAAACTACAAGCCAGCCGGGCGGTGGTGGCGCACGCCTTTAATCCCAGCACTCGGGAGGCAGCGGCAGGCAGCGGCAGGCAGATCTCTGGGAGTTCGAGACCAGCTTGGTCTACAAGAGCTAGTTCCGGGACAGGCACCAAAGCTACAGAGAAACCCTGTCTCAAAAAACAAAATCAATAACAACAACAACGAAAAAAAAAAAACAAGCATAAGATACGTTATAGAAGTGAGGAAAAGGTTTAGGAAAAGAGCTCAACGGCGGACTCTTCCTTAGCATGTATGAAGTCTTAGGTTCAATTTCCAACACCACAAATATTAAGGACATTAGCCAATGACATTTTGTTTTCGTTTTATCAGTTCTAGGGATGGAACCAAGGCATTACCCGGCTAGGAAAATGGATTACCACTGAATGATAGCCCCAGGCCTGAAGACAGTTGAAATAGTCGCGGTATGGATGTCAGTAAGTGGATAAAAACAATTTCTCCAAAATACTAAAAATGTCTGAAAGATGTGAGCAATTGCAGGGAAGAAAATGGGGCTACCGACTGCAGAGGCTCACAATTACATTCCCAGCACTAAGGAAGGAGCGACGTGAGTTTGAGGCCAGTCTCAGCTATACCATGAGATCAGGTTTCAAAGAATTAATCTGAAAAAACTAATGCTGGGCATGTAGCTTAGCGGGCAGAGTGCCTGGCTGGCATGCACCAGGTCCTAGGTTCCATCCCCAACACTGCAAAGTAGGCATGACGGTGCACACCTGTTACACGCATGTCAGCACTCAGAGGTGGAAGCAGGGGTCAGAAGTTCTGGAAGGCTAGGAAGGGATATGATGCCACCTCAAAAGAAAAGAGTAAGAGTTTTCCTAACCCTTCAAAACCAAACAAAATACCTTAGAGACCTTCAAAAGCAGGTCAAGAAAAAAAAAGAAAAACAAAATCACTGCGCCGACTTTGCCAGACTCATTTTCATCACCGTCTTACTCTTCTTTGGCCACAGGCAGCTTTGATTCCTAGGACACAGCATACTGCCCGGACTCAGGATCTGACAAGGTCCTCTGGTCTGCTCCATTTCTCCCACTATCCCTGCCTTCCTACATTTTCAGCGTCAGTGTGGTCATCTTCCTCGGGTCACCGTTACACACAGACCCACTTCTGTCCTCTGACCAGGCTTAGAGGGCATCCCTGTCTGTTTCGCCCTTAAAGGAGGAACCTCAACTCTCACCTTCTACATCCAGACCCTGTTGCCAGTACAAAGGCAAAGTTGGTGCCCAACCATTATCAGTCAAAAGAACACAGAATGCTGTGCCCAAGACCATTTTTCCTAACCCTAAAATCATTCCTGTGGTTTGAAGGCCATATGGTGGGGTAGCAGGGAACACTAATGAGAACACAGAACCTGAAGACCCAGTAACTGGGCTCCAGCCGGCTCCCCACTCTGGCTATTCCCTATGACGAGCTTTGCCTCGGCTTTGTTTTCCTCACCTATAAAGGAAGATTAAAATAGTAACCTAACTCAGAGCTAATAACATGTTTAACTTCACGGCACAGCAAGTATCACAAATTCAGCTCTAGAGAAGATAGAGGGGGAAGGCAGGATTATGACACCACTGCATACACACACCTTTATTATCTAGGAAGACTGTCTTTTGTAATACACAAAACCACCCAAAGGAAACCATTGTTCCCTCTAAGTATCTTCTTAGCCATAATCTTGCTACACAGACTTGTCTGGAACACCATCTAGCCCAAGCTGCTCTCAAATTCACTATACTCCTGCCTCAGCCTCACAGGTCCTAGGATTGCAAGTCTGAGCCACTGTCCCACACTTGCTAAGAGAATTTTAAAACACAGAAGACATGGGCCACATTTGCAGTCCCAGCACTAGGAATGCAGAGGAAAGGTGGCTACTGTGAGTTTGAACAGTGTAAACTACAGAGTGAAATGGTTAAAAAACAAAAGCCAATGGCACATACTCTTAATTCCAGCATCTGGAGGGCAGAGACAGGACGATCTCTACCAGCCTGGTCTGCAGAGTGAGGCCCAGAACTGTCAGAGCGAGATAGTAAGACAAACAAAATTCAGGTGTCCTCACACCTGCCTGTAATCCTAGCACTTGGACAACTAAGGATGGACCGCTCCTAGTCCAAGGACAACTAGCCTCAGAGTTAGTGCCCAGCCAGCCAGGACTACATAGAAAAATCCTTTCTTTTAAAAACTAAAACAAGGACAGGACATGGTGGTGCACGCCTTTAACTCCAGCAATCCAGAGGGAGAGGGAGGTGGACCTCTGTGAGGCCGACATGATCCAGGCCAGTCAAGCGTTTCATAGAAAGAAACAGTCAAGAAATATTGGGGAGTGACAGCACAGGCTTAGAATCTCAGCTCAGAGAATCAGGAGTTCAAAGACAGTTCCACTATATAGCAAGTGTAAGACAAACACGAACCTGTCTCAAAACCCCAAAAACAAAAGTAGTTTTCCTATTCCTTCTGCTTATTCTATTCTCTTTGCCAAAAAGGTACTCTTGAGTCTAAGAGTCCAAATTCTAGCCTTTAAAGATAAACTCTTCCAAAATGCTACCTTCTTCCAAAATTGTTTTAATTCTATTCTAATTCATATATACACATGTATATATAGGTGCATAAATGTATATACATATATGCACCTATGTGTGTGTGTGTGTGTGTGTGTGTGTGTGTGTCTGGCATGTGCACATGGAAGTCAGAGAACAACTTGGAGGAGTTGGTTCTCTCCTATCACACGGGTCACAGGGATCAAACTTGGATCCTCAGGATTGGTGGCAAGCCCACTGAGCCATCCAGACAACCCCGAAAATGTTTCCTTCTCATGAACCCGTCACTACTAAAATATCTCCTCTAAATACTCATATGATGTTTTGCTGGCATCTTTTCCTTTGTAGTAATTATAATAATTGCAACTACATACTTCTTTGGGGGAGGAGGGTTTCAAGATAGTGTTTCTCTGTAGCTTTGGAGCTTGTCCTGGAACCCACTCTGTAGACCAGGCTGGCCTCGAACTTACAGAGATCCACTTGCCACTGTCTCCCTAGTACTGGGATTAAAGGGGTGCACCACCACTGCCCGACTATATTATTTCTTTAAACCACATTGGTTCATAAACTCCTAGAAAACATATAGCTACCCTATCAAAGAATAACTAAAATACAGAAATGCCCTCTTTCTAACATTTATACTGAGACCTACAAGAGATATATTTTATATCACAATGATCATATATATAGGTATGAATGAATATACCTCTGAAAATATCAAAAACCAACTTTCTTTTGTTTTATATGTATACATAAACATTTCCATGTGTTTGTGTATGTCTGTGGTGCTGGAGATGGAGCCCAGAATTTAAGAACACTCATCAATGTCTTATAACCCCAATTCCTATTTTGTTCTTTTTCAAATACTGATCATGACCCTATAAACTAATTTAATAATGCACTAGCCTGTGGAACCTGGAGTTTAAGAACATTGATTTTTTTTTAGATTTTACCTTTTTGGTGATACTGGGAATCACACTCAGTGCCTCCCACAAGCCGGGCAAGTGCTCTAGCCCTAAGGTCACCCCAAGTACTCACACTGCTCCCCAGGTTTAGCACGGTCACTGTTATGTACTACATTATATAAATGTGTTGAATATGTCAAGTCAGCTATACCCTCCAACCGTTCTTTTAATTGGCCTTGAAAACGACATTCACTTCATCTGCACAACCAAAAATTAAAAACTGCTTATAAAAGCAAGCACTACCCAAACAGATATTATGCGTGGAAGCTGTTTTTAGCTGTTTTCTTGGGAATGGTGGCACACGCCTTTGATACCAGCACTAGGGAAGGCGAAGACAGAGCAGCAGATCTGTGAGTTCAAGGCCACCCCGAAAGCCAGAGCTACACAGAGAAACCTCTTTTCCAAGAGATGCTTACGTGACAGCCTGAGGGCGAACTACAACTCCAGCAGTACAGCGGCTGGGCCTTCGAGGAGAGTCCGTAGCCATTGCGTTGCTCATAGGACCTGTTTCCAGAAGAAAAGAGAAAACACATCCTCAGTATTGGAAGTGGGAGTTGTAGGATTTTATTCACTAAAGATCCCTTTTCCAAACTGTGACAAACTATGAATTCTCCCAGAAATGCACTATTTAACTCTAGCTGGCCAAGGACTCCCAGAAACCCGTGTGCCAGAGTACTGGGATTAAAGGTGTGCCACCACACCCAAGAAGATTCTTTTCTTTTCTTAAGCTAGGGTAAAGTGTGTCAAGGAAGTTGGCCTTGAACTGCCTGAAAGTCAAAACAGTTTACTCTTTTGCTGGAAATTTCTTTCACAAGCACCAAACTAGAAAGATAAGAGAATAAGAACTAAATGGGGCTGGGCAGTGGTGGCGCACACCTTTAATCCCAGCACTAGGGAGGCAGAGACAAGCCGACCAGCAAGCTACAGAGAAACCCTGTCTCAAAAAACCAAGGAAAATAAATAAATAGATGGGAATTCTAACACAGAATCGCTTACAAAATCAAATACAGAACCTAGTGTGGCAGAACAATATACAGCCAGCACCCAGGAGGCCTAAGCAAGGTAACTGCCATGAGTTTTCAGGCAACGCAAGCCCAAGTATGAGTCTGGGGGTGGTGATCCATGCCCATCGTGCCAGGTGAAGGCAGGCAGGAAGAGCAGTAGTTCAAAGTCAGGTACACAGTACACAGCCACTGCCATAAAGGATAGATGGCCCATGTAAGACAAAGACCAAATGGAAGTGACATGATATCACTCTGCCTTCAAATAAGTCTGCTGAGGACCAAGGTGTAAAACTGTGTAGCCACATTTAAATAGTATTTTTAAGCCTCCAACTATTTTAACAGAATCACCAGCATGTATACAAACCTATCATATAGACCCATATGATGTAAGGGGCCCCTTGGCCTTTCCCACAGTCTGAGCAAGCCCTGGTCCTGGACTATCTAATGAGCTTCCCAATCGCTGAGGTGGCTTTAAGAGCATAGAGTCTACCTGATGAAGGTTAAAAGGGGACTGACAACAGGTCTAATGGTCTCTTACAAGGTTCAAGGAAGCCCAGAGCCTGGAGGTAAGCTGGAAATACCTAAAAACATCTCTTTGAAGTAGGCTGTACTCTACCACTTCCTATGAAAACTCACAAACTGCTGATCCCCACACTCCTTTACAACCCAAACACCCTTGTCCCAACTAGTCCAGGTATCCCTTTCTCGGGCAGTACCCCTCACCAGATCCCCTCAGCACTCTGATTGCCATTCCACCCTCTTCCATCCAAACCAGTCTCCCCACACTTGTCCTTTAAGGGCCTTGTCACCTGAGGACAGCTTCTTGCAAGCCCCTCAGGCTCCACTCTCCCCAAAGTCAAAGGAACAACACTCCCCACTTCACCTCCTGCCCAGCCACCACTGCCCCCGGCCGCCCTCTGGCCCCTTGCCCGGCTCTCCTCCAGTTTCAATAGCTTTCCCCCACATTCCGTCAACTGGGGCTGGCCCAGCCCTGTCCCCTCGTGCTGCCTGTCCCTTTTCCTCTCCAAGCCTCCCCCACACCAAGGACCAGCCAGCCTCCTCACCGGCCGCTCCGCCGGTAAACGCTGTTCTACAGCTCCGGGCTCACTGTTTGGAGTCTCCCTCGTGATTGACGGCTACCACTTCCTACCACGCCTCGGCGGAACCACAGCTCCAGCCAATCCCAGGAGCAAACTGGCCCCGGCGCGGCACCGCCCTTGGAGGTCAGCCTCGCCAACCAGCAAGTAGGAAAGAGGCGGACCCGCCTCCGGAATCCATCCAATCCGCTGGGGCTGGAGGGAAAACACAACAGTATGGAAGTTCGGGTGAAGCGGGCGGGTCAGGTTCGGTTGTGAATGCAGGCGGTAGGGGAGAAAAGGCAGGCGTGTCTGCGGACCTGGAAAAGGTGCCTCGATGGCTTTTCTGTTTTAAGAAAACGCAACGTGCTGCTGATACCTGCCCACCTCAGTCAGGAGCCTCCGGAGCGAAGCCCAAGGCCAGGGACACTGGTGTGTTTACATGGAATTCTCGCGACAGCTGATTCGAAGCAAAAAGCACGTGGACGTGGCAGCTGCCAATCCCTTTCACCTGGCCACTCAGACTGCCCTAGCCCGCCCTCCGCCCCGCCTGCGACAATGTGTTTACCTTCCGGGAGTCTAGGCTTGGCGGGTCTCTGGTCAGCCCCACTGTCGAGAACAAGTCTGAATAAGGTTGGAATAAGGGGCCTGTAAGAAATTTTGTTGGGGTCCTTAAGGGTTACTGTCATAGAAATAGATGTTAGTGAACATCTGGAAATGGAGAGACCCCAGACTTTGGAGGGACCCTGTTGGGCAATACAGGGGATCTATAGAGACTCTAAGGAGGATGTCTGGGGCTTTGCAGGGTGGGCATTGGGAAGATCTTAAGGGTTCCTGGAGTCATAGACTGGGAACTCACTTGAGAAACCCCCATTCACACTCGTATCTGTGCTTTATCTTTCCCCTGACCGCGTATTAACCCTGTGCCTAAACCATGCTTAAAGCCTCTTTTTAAGGGATTGGGGTAGTACATGCCTGTAATCGCAGTACTTGAGAAGCAAAGACCAACTTGGTCTACATAGCAAGTTCCAAGCCAGTCCAGTGCCATCACCTGAGACCTCCTGTCAAATGACTTGTCATTCCCCCCAAATAGGGACTTCTTTCCTCAGGGGGCTTTTCATAACGGAGAAACAAAAGACGTGGGAAAGAACGAGAATGAAGGAAAACGCTGCTTGTCTGCCTCCAACTTGCAGCTTTGACGGACCCAGGGGAAGCATACAGCTCAGTGAATGCCTTAGTTGACCACAGTGGTAGCAGGAAATGATCTTTCTTTTCCTGTTGGGATTCTCAGACTAAGCAAGTAGTCTCTGGATGGGACTCTAGGGTGTCCTGAGATAGGCAAGGAATAGGCAGTTGCTGTGGCCAAGTGATGAACTGGTTCAGTTCATCTTACCCTTCATCGTCCAAGACCTCTTCTCAGGGCCTGCAAGATGATTGGAAGGCTAAAGGCCCCTGCTGCCAAGCCTGACCCCCTGAGTTCAATCCCCAGGACTCAACATGGAAGATGAGAACAAGCTGTCTGTCCTCTGACCCCCACACCCACAAACACAATAGTGATTTAAAATAAATTTTAAAGATCTCCTCTTTGTCATCCTTACAGGGAAAAGGCAAGGGAATCAGATGGCCATCCTTTGCTACATAGGGAATTCGAGGCAGCATCTTCTACACAAGACCTTAATATAAGTACATATATGTGTGTGGTGTGTATATATGAGATAGGTAAGCATGTGCTCCCAGCAGACATGAAGGGACATGAACCTAAATGTGCCAAGGTCGTCAATGGCCACTCTGAAAAGGGTGTTTTCCAAATGAAGGCTATATCGCTTTTAGTTGTTCCCAGATCTGCCCTGTAATTCTTTTTTTTTCCTTCATTTATTTGTTTATTTTATTTATTTAAGATTTCTGCCTCCTCCTCTCCACCGTCTCCCATATCCCTCCCCCTCCCCCAATCAAGTCCCCTTTCCTCATCAGCCCGAACAGCAGTCCGGGTTCCCTGCCTTGTGGGAAGTCCAAGGACCTCCCACCTCCTTCCAGGTCTAGTAAGGTGAGCATCCAAACTGCCTAGGCTCCTACAAAGCCAGTATGTGCAGTAGGATCAAATGCCCTGTAATTCTTAATGTGAGAATGTGTATGTATGAACTGGCAGGGGAGAGTGGATGCAAAGTTCAAGTGGAGGGTTGTGGGAGGGGACTAGCCAGAGCTGGGAGCAGAGTTACAGGGTAGACAGCTAGTGGTGTAGATGCTAGGGTTTGAACCCTGGGTGTTGGGGGAGGGGGATGAATAGCTGCAGCTGGGAGCAGAGTTACAGGGTAAGCGCTCCTGGTGGAGAGGCTAGGGGTTGAACCTTTGGTCGTGCAGGTTGGAGGCCAGACTGGACGAGACTCGACCTCATTAAACAAACATCATAGATTAGCCTTGCTGGCTTACACCTGTAATGACTGTGCTCAGGAGGCGGAGGCATGACTGGATCTGATGCCACAGTAGGCTACATGATGAATGTAAAGCCAGCTGTGCTATCTGGTGAGACACAGCCTCAAAATATAAGCGGAGAAAGGAGAGGAAAAACCCAGACTAGTCACTCCCAACCCACTTTTGGTATATGCTTTATCACCAGCTTGAGATAATGTCGATAAGCAGTGTACTCTCTGGTACAGCACCTGACTTTGGTTAGTCCCAATGAGAATGATGACTTCACTAAATAGCTGAGAATGAATTTGAACTCCAATTCTCTTTTCTCACCACCAGATGCGAAGACTATAGGCAAGCATTACACTACATTCAGATATTATTTTTTAACCAGGACTATGAAGTTCATTTTCAGTGCAAGAGAACTGCCTCTTTGTTCTGATTACTACCAAGTGTTATTTTAACAAATTACTGGCTGGGCATGGGTATAAGATTAGACTATGTTTCAAATGACTACAGATAAAATCTAAAGCCCACACTGTGATAGTGCATGCCTATAATCCAGGATTCCAGAGGCCGAGGCCAGTTTGAGTCTGGCCTACATACCAAAACTGCCTCAAAAAACAAAATGAGCAAATGAATAAAAAAAAATTTAGAACTGAAAGACTATAGTGATATATCAAAGAAAACTAAGGTGAAATTAAAACAAGAATGTGGCCTGGCGGTGGTGGCGCATGCCTTTAATCCCAGAGGCAGGCGGATCTCTGAGTTCGAGGCCAACATGGTCTACAAGAGCTAGTTCCTGGACAGGAACCAAAAGCTACAGAAAAACCCTGTCTCGAAAATCAAAAAAAAAAACAAAAAAAAAAAAAAACAAGAATGTGTTGCTAGAAAAAGTTGGTAATAGCTAAAAAAGATTCCTAAATTTGGTAAAGGATACCAATCTAGAGATCCAACTTCAGACAACCAAAAGAAATCACTCAGGGACTCTTCAAGAGTGGTTAGTGGCAGATTTGGGGGCAGGTGAAAAGTAGACCTAAACAGTGTGGGGTCCATGAGTGAGTAGACATGTCAGTGAGGCCAGCTAATTTATCCAACTAGCATGGCCGTCATCAGGAGTCCTACAACTCCATTTAATAGCATTCCCAAGACACCACAGTGGCCCCACCTCCTCAGCGTTTTCAGTATTTCAGCAGTGCCACCCCAAGAGACAGCATCCTACCTCATGTAGTAAACAGTATAGCATATCGAAGTCAATCTTCGTTTTGCTAGAGTTAGGTATCAAATGAAGGGACTTGTGGCTGAAGAGATGGCTCAGCAGTTAAGAGTACTGGCTGGTCTTCCTGAGAACTTTGATTTGGTTCCCAGCACCTACTTGGTGGCTCACAACTTATCAGTTCCAGATCTGACATCCTCTTCTGGCCTCTATCTAAACACTAAACATATACATGGTATATATATACTTACATGCAGGCAAAATAATCATACATAACGTTTTTTAAAATACAGGGCAAACACTCAATTATACTAAACCCCTAATCCTTTTACCTTTCCTGGTCACAATGCCTAACCCACATTTATCTCTCTGGTTTGTTCTATCCATTATTGTTTTGAGACAGTCTCATATATCTCAGGTTGGCCTAAAACTTTGAAGCTGAGGATGGCTTTGAATCCCTGATCCTCCTGCCTCTACCTTCTGAGTACAAGGATTACAGACCAATACCAACACATCTGGTTTATGCATTGCATATACAAGCAGACTTCGTATGTGTGAGGCAGGCACTCTACCTACTCAGCCACATCCCCAGCCCTCAATGAGGCTTCTTATTGCAAATTCAAAGTTGAAGAGTACAATTACACACACACACACACACACACACACACACACGTGTATACTCTTGGTACTTCAGTATTTCCCTTTAGGTTTTATTGTATTACCAAAGAAAGGGCCAGAGTTTTACTGAACACTCACAAGCTATAACTGAATCATACTGTTAGATATTTAGTTTGTTCCTATGTGTTCTATATTAAAATAAGAACTCAGTGCAAAAAATGAGTATTATATGTATTTTAAGTCAAGAAAACACAGATATCTTACACAACTGACTGTTAGTACCTACCATGAAGAGTCACCAACAAAACGCCAGCAACATAAAGAGCAACAGTTCACTGATTTATTAGATGAACATAGTCAATGAAAACTGTATGATATAAAATAATTTAGGAAATGTTGGGAATTAGCAGCACCATCTGTTACTGAAATATCAAGAAAAATGTCACGTATTTTAAGCAAACACTAGAAGAGGGTAACTATATGTCCTAATGCCACTAACCTGGGAAATGATGGTGTTTTAGGCACACACACCTCCTTCTATGCCAGAGATTTCAGTAAGTACATCAGATGTACTGTTCTAGAAAAATGCTACTGAAGTTAAGAGATACTGCATAGTATAAGTAGACAAGAAGACTAAAATCAGCTACACTGGCATGGCTCAATGCTTTTCCTATGAAATGTTTAGTTATGGATTATGAAATGAGAAATAATATATTTTTAAAAGACACTAATGGTCCCTAGGAAACATTAAGTGGAGCACAGATCACTATGAAAATACATCACTTTTCCAGTTGCTTACTAATTTTCTTTAAAAAGTCATGTGTTCTTCACAAGTGGTGTATATAAGTATGTAATAAGCATTTTAAAAAGTTTAACCA